AAAAAAACCCTTAAAAAGAAGAAAGTGAGTGGCTGTGTGTTGTTAAAGCCAGGGGCGGACTGACCATTTGGAAACTCCCGGGGCCCGGGGTCAGTAGGGGGCCCCATGAGATGCCTCTGGTACCTTTTTCATAGGCTTTTTTGAGTTTGGGCAAGGACACAGGGGCCCCATGATCCCCTATTGCCCAGGGGCCCCATGAGTTGTCAATCCATCCCTGGTTAAAGCTCTATGCTTCATGCAGTGTGAAGAATTTCAGTTCACAAGAGGAGCCTGTAATACTGTGCAAGACTGAAAATGAGGCCGAAGTTTTAGAGTCAGATAAAAAATTATGCAGGCCATAGATGGGTCGAAAATCGGCCGATTTTTCGGCCGAAAATAAAATCGGCCGATTTTCGGATCGTTAGTGGGCTATTTGGTCGGCCGTTTTTCGGTATTTTGGCCGTTTTTTTTTTTCTGTAAAGTTGGAAAAAAAATCGGCCGATTTTGCCGATCGGCCGATTTTCGCGGCAATTAGTGGGCAAATCGGCCATTTTTTTGCCGATAAAAAATCTGCGCATGAGCAGTGACCTGCAAGAGGAAGACAAAAAGAAGAAAAAGTGGATGAAGAAGAAGAGGATGAGGAAGAGGAAGAAGAAGAAGAGAAGATGATGAGGATGAGAGGAAGAGGAAGAAGAAGAAGAAGAAGAGATGAGGAAGAGGAAGAAGAGGATGAGGAAGAAGAAGAAGAATGAGGATGAGGAAGAAGAAGAAGAGGAAGAGGAAGAAGAAGAAGAGATGAGGAAGAGGAAGAAGAAGAAGGATGAGGAAGAGGAAGAAGAAGAGAGGATGAGAAGAGGAAGAAGAGGATGAGGAAGAGGAGGATGAGGAAGAGAAGAAGAGGATGAAGAAGAGGATGAGGAAGAGAAGAAGAAGAAGAGGAAGAAGAAGAAGAAGAGGAAGAAGAAGAAGAAGAAGAGAGATGAGGATGAAGAAGAAGAAGAGGAGAGGATGAAGAAGAAGAAGAAGAGGATGAGGAAGAAGAAGAAAAAAGAAGAAGAAGAGGATGAGGAAGAAGAAGAAGAGAGATGAGAAGAAGAAGAAGAAGAAGAAGAAGAAGAAAGAAGAGGATGAGGAAGAAGAGGAAGAAGAGGATGAGAAGAAGAGGATGAGGATGAAGAAGAAGAAGAAGAAGAAGAGGATGAGGATGAAGAAGAAGAAGGATGAGGAGAAGAAGAAGAGGATGAGGATGAGGAAGAAGAAGAAGAGAAGAGGATGAGGATGAGGAAGAAGAAGAAGAAGAAAGAAGAGGAAGAAGAGGATGAGGATGAAGAAGGAGAGATGATGAAGAAGAAGAAGGATGAGGATGAAGAAGAAGAAGAAGGATGAGGATGAAGAAGAAGAAGAGGATGAGGATGAAGAAGAAGAAGATGAGGATGAAGAAAGAAGAAGAGGATGAGGATGAGAAGAAAAAAGAAGAAGAGGATGAGGATGAAGAAGAAGAAGAGGATGAGGAAGAAGAAGAAAGAAGGAAGAAGAGGATGAGGAAGAAGAAGAAGAAGAAGAGGATGAGGATGAGAAGAAGAAGAAGAAGAAGAAGAAGATGGATGAGGATGAAGAAGAAGAAGATGAGGATGAAGAAGAAGAGGATGAGGATGGAAGAAAGAAGAAGAAGAGGATGAGGATGAGGAGAAGAAGAAGAAGAGGAAGAAGAGAAGAAGAGGATGAGGATGAAGAAGGATGAGGATGAAGAAGAAGAAGAAGGATGAGGAAGAAGAAGAAGGATGAGGATGAAGAAGAAGAAGAAGAAGAGGGATGAGGATGAAGAAGAAGAAGAAGAAAGAAGAAGAAGTAGGATGAAAATAAGAAGAATTCCAGTCCAGCAAAAAGTGTCTCTGCAGAGAGCTCCGCTATTTCTGACAGTTCTCTGACAGTTCTTTGACATTTACAGCGGTTGCAACAATGTATCTATTTGTTTCCGAATAAAAACATCTGTATCCTAAATGGAAACAAATAGATACAATGTTTCAACCGCTGTAAATGTCAAGGAACTGTCAGAGAACTGTCAGAAATAGCGGAGCTCTCTGCAGGGACACTTTTTGCCGGCTGTAGAAGGGATGAAAATCGGCCGATTTTTTTTTTTTACCATTGATGGTAACGTCGGCCGCTTGAACGACCGAACTTTCGTTTTTTAAAAGAAAAATCTGCCATTTTTCTCCCCATCTATGGCCTGCATTACTCTCCATTAAACTGCATAATTATAACTCAAAAGTTGTTCTCACTGACAATTCTCCGTAACTTCCCGTTACCAGCACTGGTTAATAATTGACAGCGGTTGTTGACACAGGGAGGAAGTTTGTAGGCAATGAATATTAAATAACACATTTAGCCCCAGGATTTTTCTGAAAATTTGTTTTACGCTTTTTTGCACATAAAGCATTGTCATCCCTCAATAGAGAACAGCAAGCACTCCAATGGAGAGGTTAATAATTTATTTAAGCAGCCGGAAAATGGAAGACATGACTGAAGAACAATGACATACTATGGATTGAGTGGAGTCACTTTAAACGTAGAATGCAAACACGGCATTTCACCGGTAATCCGTAAAAACCACTTGTGTCAATGACTCTCCTCTACCTTCTGTTATATTACACTGTACTTATGTATCAATATTCTAGAGAAGTACGGTTCTTGTCTAGACCATTGGTTAAAGGATGTGTATCACTGTCATGTTTACATATGCTGTAATAGTTACATATTGCATCCTTTGCTGGCCTGGCACTAACATATTAAATGGGGGTATTGGCTTAGATCATGTGATTTTAAGTTGGAATTGGGAGGTTTAAAGTGACCCTGTCATAACCTGGTCAGTTGTATACAGGGGCGGACTGACCATTTGGAAACTCGGGCACTGCCCGAGGGCCCGGGGTTAGTACCCGGGATACCAGGGGCATCTCCCCATGAGATGCCCCTGGTACCTTTTTCATAGGCTTTTTTGAGTTTGGGCAAGGACACAGGGGCCCCATGATCCCCTATATCCCCATGGCCCCATGAGTTGTCAGTCCGCCCCTGGTTGTATACCATACCTGTACAAGTAGAGACAATATACTTACTTTTCTGACAACCTGTGCGTTGAAACGCTGCTCCCTAGTCACTGCAAGTATTCAATCCTTTTGATGAGTAAATAATTGTTTAGTTAGAGTAGAATTTCAGGCTAAACCTAGCTAGTCTTAAAAAATGCTCTATCTCTCCTCCTAACACCTACAGTTGTCCTCAAAATTTTACATACCGTGGTAGAAATTGTGAAATGTTGGCATTGATTTTGAAAATATGACTGAACATGCCAAAAACTGCTCTTTTATTGAAGGATGATGATCATATGAAGCCATTTTATTATCACAAAGTTGTTTGGCTCCTTTTTAAACATAATGATAACAGAAATCACCCAAATGGTCCAGATCAAAAGTTTCCATACCCCCTGGAATGTTTGTCCTTGGTACAGACACACAAAGTGGCACACACGGGTTAAAATGCCAATTAGAGGTTAATGTTCCACATCTGTGGCTTTTTAAATTGCAATTAGTCTCAGTGTATAAATAGCAATGGGTTGGTTTGGTCTTATGTGGAAGCACTGACTAGGCTAGATACTGAGCCATGGGGATCAGAAAAGAAAGTCAAAAGTCCTGTGTAACAAGGTAATGGAACTTTAGTAAGATGGAAAAGGACATAAAAAGATGTCCAAAGCCTTGAATATGCCAGTTATCACTTCCACTAAGAAGTAGAAAATTCAAGGACCTCTTGATACCAAGCCAAGTACAGGTAGACCAAGAAAGACTGCAGCCACAACTGCCAGAAGAATTGTTTATCTTTTAGAGCACTGGTCCCCAACCTGCAGCCCTATGGCACTTTCTTTGTGGCCCTTGGGGCCTCTATAGACACAAATCTGTTTTGGCCTATTATCGTAGTGAGTTCTCATGTAACGAGTCTCCAGTCAATGGCTGTCTCCTGAAACATGTGCCCAGTCTCCAATAACTCCTATAGCATGTCCTCAGTCTCCGACAGTCTCCTGCAGTGGGTCCTCAGTCCTGAACATCTCTTGTATTATGTCTGCAGCCTCTGAACATTTCCTCTATCATGTCTGACATCTCTGACTATCTCTTGTATTATATCCATAGTCTCTTACCATCTGCTCAGACCATCTTTGTATCATGTCCACAGCCAACAACCATCTCTTGTATCATGTCTGCAGTTTCTGACCATCTCCTGTATCATGTACACAGTCTCTGTCTACCTCTTGTATTATGTATGCAGTCTTTGACCATCTCTTTTAACATGCCCATAGTGTTTTACTATTTATGTGCGGACCTTTGAGGTTGTCGAGGGTTGCATTTGAGGCCCCCCAGTTGACCACCATTGCTTTAGAGTAATAAAAAAAATCTGCATTTCTATTCTTGCTCGATGGCCTTGAACATTCAAAAATGAAAGATTTATTTGCTCACCTTAGAAACTTTTTCATGCTGTCTGCTATCATCATCTTAGACTCTATTTAGATCTGCAGTTTCCATGGCATTGTACACATCTCCAGCTTTGCCACCAACTATTTGAGGGCTTGAATGTTCAATTGGGAGCTGACTTAAGCACACTGGCAACTGAGGCATGCTTTGAATGTAGCATACGTAAATGAAAACACAGCAGAAATCAGTTTAATTGGGGATTTATTAACATATTTTAAACATTTCTAACTTGAGCTTTCTTTTGGGAAACAGTTAAGTTGGTGGGTTGGGTTCCACCAATATTTCTTCCCAGGTAGAAAACACTTATTCATAATACACAAGGTGGATTTATAGCTACAGTATGTGAATGCCACCACCTCTATCTCTAGAGCTTGGCAAAACAAAACTGGTTTTGACCTTGAAAAATATTCCCAATGACTGTGATAAATCAGCCAAGCAACGATATTATATTACACACCATTGCTTTGTCTTCGATGTCTGGAAGTTTGTTGCTAAAGTTCATGTCTTATGTCACTTCTGCCATTTTTTGGGATCCCAGGCCAGAAACCAGCCAGTAAATGTTGGAGGTTCAAATCCTTGTTTGACCACAGTGATTGGGATGTTCTTGTCTCTTCCATTTGGGTCACTTTCCAGATATCTTTTGGCTGTGAATAGACCAGGATAAACATAGTAAATTGTTTTACAAGAGGTTGACTGTCAGCATTTATTAAAGGTCAGTATCACCCACCACTCCTTTTTTACAACATAGTAATGGTGTCGCCATACTCTTCCTAAAAGCCGGCAAGTTTCAATGTTCTAGTTTACAGTTTGGTTTCCCTGCACCTTTAATTGTATTCTTCATGATGCCAAAACAATTAAAAATCCAACAAAGAGAAAGAGAGAAGACCCCCGTAACGGCAGCAGTAGTCCAAATATGGGAGCAAAAGTTTAGACATTTTTAGTTGTTGAAAAAACTGAACATTTGGGTGGTTTAAGTAGATCTAAACCCAACTTAGAGTTTATGAACAACCCTCCTTCCCTTGTGGCTTTCTAACAGAAAATATTAGCTCCTTTGACATAGTTATCATTTTCCATATTAGGACCATGTACCACTAGGATAAAGCTTCCAGGCCACAGCTAAAATTCAAGGTGAGACCTGTGCCAGAGACATCGATTGGCTGCTTAAAAAGAGTTGGCTAGTCGAGATGTCTGCCCTACAGAGATCCCACCCTATGCCATGAGTGACATCAGGCAGCACTGCCCTAACAGTACACAGATGGAGCCCAAGCCCATCACTTTACATTAGGGAGCGTTGGTCAGTGGGTGGGGGCTAGTGAATTGAAAAGTAATGTGTAGGGGGTGCAGGAGCAGGATGCCGACACAGTGACAGCTGCCCCCGCCCCAGTGTAGCGGTAAAATGAGTATCCCCTGAAGCAACTGCGCGTGTGTCGGTTTCAGGCCGAAAAAGCCGATTGCCGACTCTGTGCTAAAGTCGGAGGTCGGCTTCTTTGGCCTGAAACCGGCACATGCGCAATTGCTTCAGGGGATACATATCTTCAAGGGATACTCATTTTACCACTACACCGGCACCGCTCCTTCCTCTCTAGAGGGGTGACACCAAGTGTTACCGCATCGGGTGACACCAACCCTAGGGACGCCTCTGATACACAGTTACACAAAATTATTATTATTATTATTATACAGTATTTATAAAGCGCCAATAGTTCGCTCAGCGCTGTACATTACAAAGGGGGACAGAACATGCGACAGTACAATAACAATACAATAATACACGAGGGGTTCGAGGGCCCTGCTCCTTGGAGCTTACAATCTAGGAGGGACTGGCTGTGGGGGATGGAGTGGTGGGAAGAGTGGACCCCCCCCTCCCCTCCGCTGCCTCTGACACCGGGGACCCCCCCTCCGCTGCCTCTGACATTTCCTTGGTCTCCATGGCTGGACTCTCCATTGGTTGGAATCTTACCTATCTCACTGCACCTTCAGTGTCACAACTCCCTCCTCCTCTTACTGTCGGGGTCCCCCAAGGTTCTGTCCTTGGACCTCTCCTCCTCCCCATGTTGGGGTCCCCCAAGCTTCCGTCCTCGGACCTCTCCTCCTCCTCCCCATGTCAGGGTCCTCCAAGTTTCCGTCCTCGGACCTCTCCTCCTCCTCCCCATGTCAGGGTCCTCCAAGGTTCCGTCCTCGGACCTCTCCTCCTCCTCCCCATGTCAGGGTACCCCAAGGTTCCGTCCTCGGATCTCCTCCTCGTCCTCGGATCTCTCCTCCTCCTCCCCATGTTGGGGTCCCCCAAGGTTCTGTCCTTGGACCTCTCCTCCTCCCCATGTCGGGGTCCCCCATGGTCCTGTCCTTGGACCTCTCCTCCTCCTCCCCATGTCGGGGTCCCCCAAGGTCCTGTCCTTGGACCTCTCCTCCTCCTCCCCATGTCAGGGTCCCCCAAGGTTCTGTCCTTGGACCTCTCCTCCTCCCCATGTCGGGGTCCCCCAAGGTCCTGTCCTTGGACCTCTCCTCCTCCCCATGTCAGGGTCCCCCAAGGTCCTGTCCTTGGACCTCTCCTCCTCCTCCCCATGTCAGGGTCCCCCAAGGTCCTGTCCTTGGACCTCTCCTCCTCCTCCCCATGTCGGGGTCCCCCAAGGTTCTGTCCTTGGACCTCTCCTCCTCCTCTTACCGTTGGGGTCCCCCAAGGTTCTGTCCTTGGACCTCCCCCTCCTCCTCCTCCCCATGTCGGGGTCCCCCAAGCTTCCATCCTTGGACCTCTCCTCCTCCTCCCCCCATGTTGGGGTCCCCCAAGGTTCTGTCCTTGGACCTCTCCTCCTCCTCTTACCATTGGGGTCCCCCAAGGTTCTGTCCTTGGACCTCCCCTCCTCCTCCTCCCCATGTCAGGGTCCCCCAAGCTTCCATCCTTGGACCTCTCCTCCTCCTCCCCCCATGTCAGGGTCTCCCAAGGTTCCGTCCTCAAAATATAGTCATGTACCTGCTACCAATGATTCCTTTTTCTCAACCTCATTTGAGTCATCTCCAATCCAAATAAATATCTGAAAGAATAAAAAAAATTAAAGAATCATGAGATTTGAGCATTTTGTACCTTTACCAGGTTTAAGAAACTCCTGCTTAGTGAACCTATCAGGGAAAATTCCATTCTGGTCTTTTTTGTCCCAGATTAAATTCCTAAAAATATCGAGTAGCGGACCATTTAAGGGATGTAGCTGTCTGGGGGCCAATACAAAACGTAAGCAGGGGGCCTGCAACATCTCATCAGTATTTAAAAATATACTCCTAAATTCCTCCCATTCTATAGCAAGTGTGTGGGAACGTAAACCTCTTTTAGCTAGTAAACACATCTCAATGCTTCTGGTCATGAAAAAAATGGTGGAAGAAACAAATGTTCTTGAACTAGTGGCAAGGTGATTCTAGAAGGAGCTACGAGCTGAAAAGTGGTTCGTTCAAAAGTTATACCTGTTACTTGGCTAAAGAAAATGCCCTAAGGGCTCATGTACACTGCAGCTGATAAACTCACGTTTAGGAGATGTTCAGCGTTTTTTTTCAGCAGACCCTGAACTCTCCCTAATGTTTTCCTATGTGTCCATGTACACATCTGCGTTTACAGTCATTTACAGGCAGTTGAGTTTACAGTCATTTATTTGAATGCAATAAACTTGCGTTCAGGAGTAGATTTTATCAGCGTTTATTAGGTACACCTGTTGAGTTGTTTGGTAACACAAATTGCTAATCAGCCGATCACATGGCAGCAACTCAATGCATTTAGACATGTAGTCGTGGTGAAGACGACTTGCTGAAGTTCAAACTGAGCATCAGAATGGAGAAGAAAGGGATTTAAATGACTTTCAATGTGGCATGATTGTTGGGGGTTGATTTACAAAAGCTGGAGACTGCAGAATCAGGCTCACTTCTGCATAGACACCAATCAGCTTCTAACCTCAGCTTCTCCAATTAAGCTTTGGCAATAAAACCTGGAAGCTGATTGGTTTCTGTGCAGAAGTGTGCCTCATGTTGCACTCTCCAGCTTTAGTAAATAAACCCCTTGGTGTCAGATGGGCTGGTCTGAGTATTTCAAGAACTGCTGCTACAACCAGCTCTAGGGTCTACAGAGAATGGTCAGAAAAAGAGAAAATATCCAGTGAGCGGCAGTTGTGTGGACGAAAATGCCAAATTGATATCAGAGGAGAATGGGCAGACTGGTTGCTGCGACATTCAGATGGTAGGATCAGAATTTGGTGTAAACAACACGAATCCATGGATTCATCCTGCCCTGTATCAACGGTTCAGGCTGGTGGTGGCAGTGGAATGGTGTTGTGGATATTTTCTTGGCAGTAACAAAGTGTACCTAATAAATGGCCGGTGAGTATATAGTGGGATAGTGATAGTGCGGCGGGAAATCTGGCACTAACCGTCACTGGGGGGAACTGACTGACTGACACTGATATCAACAGTGACACTAATACATTGATCAGTGATAATACTATACACTATCACTGTAAAATGACACTGGCTGGGAAGGGGTTAACATCTTGGGACAATCAAAGGGTTAACTGTGTTACAATGTGTAATGTGTGCTGCTTACACTAAGAGAGATGGCTGTTTAAAAAAAAAACAGTCACATCTCTGCTCCATGTATAGAGCCCTGTGTTGTTAGTAAACACCGGGCTCTGTACTGTGCAGGGGCGGACTGACCATTTGGAAACTTGGGCACTGCCCAAGGGCCCGGGGTCAGTAGGGGGCCCCATGAGATGCCCCTGGTACCTTTTTCATAGGCTTTTTTGAGTTTGGGCAAGGACACAGGGGCCCCATGATCCCCTATTGCTCGGGGGGCCCCATGAGTTGTCAGTCCTCCCCTGATACTGTGATTTGCTAAGTCGATCAGCAGGTCCCGGCCAATGATTTATGGCCATGAGCTGCTGATCGGCTTAGCAAATCACAGCACAGAGTTCTGTGTTTACTAACTACACAGGGCTCTGTACAGGGTGCAGCGATGTGGCTTGTGCAGTACTGAATGACAGCACAGATGAGGTGGCAGGCAAACATGCTCCCTACCCGGAAATGAATGGATCATGTACATGTAAGTGATCCACTCACCTGCAGTATGTATGCAGTGGGTGGTCTGCAAGCCATTAATAAAGAACATAGGGAGCTCTCAGGTGTACTATGACAAAATATTACAGTAGGTCCTTGAGGTAGAATCTTCAAGCACAGACCATGACAGCACCACAAAGTTTCACAAAGTTGTCCAGAAACAATGCATTAATTAGTATGGGTCTCAGGCAAAGCCAACACAGTTCAGGGGGGTAGATGGTGGCCCCCTGCATCAGGGCTAAGTACTTTGAGCTCACACTCTGGACAAACTAGGAGATCCTTCGGGAATAAAGAGTAGCAAGAGCATAAGCAAATTGTTCTGCAGCCATTTTTTTTTTTTACTGAATAAATTGTTACTAGGCTTGTGAACTGTTGTTGTGGCTCCCCCATCTCCTTTACTTGAAGATTCTATCTGCTTTGTGTCAGCAATCAAACAAGTACATGAATCATATTAACATTAGACGTCCATAGGCCTTTAGATGGACAGGAGAAGAAGTCTGATCTTCCCTCTCCGTAACTTCACAGCTGCTCTTCTTTGAAAACCATGGACATGTTCAATAGAGTTCTTTTTGCATTTAGACATTCCTCCTCACCATGCCAAAAATAATGCAGGACTAAGCCTGCTATACCTAGATTTTCCCTTTTCACCAAGGCAGCTCTATGCACCATTTAGCATTTGGCCGGCAAATACGCATTGCAAGCTATAATGCTCTTCTGCACCCCTCCGGGAAAGACTCCATTGCTCATAGCTCACAGTCGATATAAGTCAGGGGTCTTCAAACGTTGTAAACAAAGGGCCAATTTGCTGCCCTTCAAACTTTAGGGAAGACTGTGGCCAGTGGGAGAAGAAAATGTCCTGGTGTCAGTGGGAGTAAACAATGTATCATCATTGGTATTAGAGAGAGTAATAGTGCCCCATCAGAGGTATCAATGGGAGGAATAGTGCCCCATCATTGGTTTCAGTGGGAGTAATAGTGTTCCATCATTGGTGTCAGTGGGAGGAAAAGTGTCCCAACATTGGTGTCAGTGGGAGTAACAGTAACAGTGCCCCATTGTTGGTGTCAGTGGGAGTAACAGTGCTCCATCCTTGGTGTCATTGGGGGAATAGTGCCCCAACATTGGCATCAATGGGAGAAATAGTGCCCCATTGTTGGTGTCAGTGGAAGTAATAGTGCCCCATCTTTGGTTTCAATTAGAAGAATAGTGTCCCTTTAAAGTAGTGAGGTAGTTCTAGGTAGTGGTAGGGGTAACCCTGGATTCTGAACTATCTTTTCAGGCCCACATCCAATCCCTGTCCAAACCATGCCACCTCAACATCCAGAATATGCCCCTTTTTAACTAATGATTCCACAAAGCTCCCAATTCACTCCCTGGTTATCTCTCCCAGGTTGGTGATGTAGTTGGGCGCAGAGTTAAGGATGGCTTTGTAAGTTGTTAGTATTTTGAATTTTATTCGTTGGGCAAGTGGAAACCAGTGGAGGGATTGGAAGAGAGGGATAGCAGACACTAAGGTAGATGAGCCTGGCAGCAGCATTCATGATGGACTGGAGAGGGGATAGCCTATGTAAAGGTAAGCCAATGAGGAGGGAGTTGCAGTAGTGGAGGTGAGAGATAACAGAGGTCTCCAAATTTTCTAAACAAAGGGCCAATTTGCTGTCCTTTAAACTTTTTTGGGGGGCCAGACTGTGGTCAGTTGGAGAAGAAAATGTCCGTGTCAGTGGGAGTAAACAATGTCTCATCATTGGGATTAAAGTGAGAAATAGTGCCCCATCATTGGTGTCAGTGGGAGGAATAGTTCCCCATCATTGGTTTCAGTGGGAGGAATAGTGCTCCATCATTGGTTTCAGTGGGAGGGAAAGTACCCCATCATTGCTGTCAGTGGGAGAAATTGTGCCCCATTGCTGGTTTCAGTGGGAGTAATAATGACCCATCATTGGTATTAGTGGGAGTAATAGTGCCCCATCATTGGTATCAGTGGGAGGAATAGTGCCCCATCATTGGTATCCATTGGAGGAATAGTGTCCCTTCAAACATAGTGAGGTAGTCCTAGCAGAGCTCCCAACTGTGAGTGTAGGACAGGGGTTGGACTATGACCAATTGGAGAAGAAAATGTCCTGGCATCAGGGGGAGTAAACAATGCCTCATCATTGCTATTAAAGGGAGAAATAGTGCCCCATCAGTGGTATCAATGGGAGAAATAGTGCCCCATCATCAGTGTCAGTGGGAGGAATAGTGCCCCATCGTTTGTATAAAAGGAAGGAATAGTGCCCCATCGATGTCAGTGGGAGAAATATTGCCCCAACATTGGTATCAATGGGAGAAACAGTGCCCCATCATTGGTGTCAGTGGGAGCAATAATTCCCCATTGTTAGAGTCCGTGGGAAGAATAGTGCCCTATCATTGGTGTCAGTGGGAGCAATAGCGCCCCATTGTTGGTGCCAGTGGGAGCAATAGTGCCCCATTGTTGGTGCCAGTGGGAGGAATAGTGCTCCATCAGGGTACCAATTGGAGGAATAGTGTCCCTTTGTCTGTGTTCGTGGCAGGAAATATGCCCCACTGTTGCTGACAGTAGGGGGAATAATGCCTCAAGGGCTGGATAAAAGCAAGCAAAGGGCCGCATCCGGCCCCAGGCCACAATTTGAAGACCACTGGTGTAACTTAACATCTGATCCTACATTACTTACCTGTTCCCAAGTATCCAACATCATTACATCATCCTCTGCCAGATCTTCCTGTGTAAATTCTCCCGGTACCTCTTCAACCTACAATAAATACATTTTACACATGTGAGTAGAACAACTTCATCAACATAACCCCCTGAAGTGGCCAAATCTGCACCAACAGGTCACACTATGGGGACATTTCTGATAAACTCTGATTAGTGATCAGTGATTATGTACAATAAGAGAAATTGACAGTTTTGCTTTGCCAAAATGTCTGATTTTTCACTGAAAATTTCACAATATCTGCAAAATGCATTGGAGTCAGTGGGGAAAGGAAATTATTTTCCCTTTAAGATACACTGCTCAAAAAAAATTAAAGGAAAACTTTGAAAACACATCAAATCTGAATGGGGAAAAATCTCCTGCTGAATATCTATACTGATATGGACTGGGCCATATGTTAGGAACGCAAGGATGCCCCATCGTTTGATGTAAATGAAAACGATCAACCTACAGAGGACTGAATTCAAAGACACCCTGAAAATCAAAGTGAAAAAATGATGCAGCAGGCTAGTCCATTTTGCTGAAATTTCATTGCAGCAACTCAAAATGGTCCTCAGTAGTTTGTATGGCCCCCACGTGCTTGTATGCATGCCTGACAACGTCAGGGCATGCTCCTAATGAGACCGAGGTGTATCCCAGAGGACTTCTATTGAATTTAGGTCAAGCAAGTGTGGGGGCCATTCACTGGTTTCAATTCCTTCATCCTCCAGGAACTGCCTGCATACTCTCCCCACATGAGGCCGGGCATTGTTGTGCACCAGGAGGAACCCAGGACCCACTGCACCAGCATAGGGTCTGACAATGGGTCCAAGGATTTCATCCTGATACTTAACGGCAGTCAGGGTGCCATTGTCTAGCCTGTAGAGGTCTGTGTGTCCCTCCATGGATATGCCTCCCCAGACCATAACTGACCCACCACCACGGTCATGCTGAACAATATTACAGGCAGCAGAACGTTCTCCACGGCTTCTCCAGACCCTTTCACGTCTGTCACATGTGCTCAGGGTGAACCTGCTCTCTTCTGTGAAAAGCACAGGGGGCCAGTGGTGGACCTGCCAATTCTGGTGTTCAATGGCAAATGCCAATCGAGCTCTATGGTGTCGTGCAGTGAGCACAGGGCCCACTAGAGGATGTCGGGCCCTTGTGTCACCCTCATGAAGTCTGTTTCTGAGTCAAAGACATTTACACCAGTGGCCTGCTGTAGGTCATTTTGTAGGGCTCTGGCAGTGCTCATCCTGTTCCTCCTTGCACAAAGGAGCAGATGCCGGTTCTGCTGATGGATTAAGGACCTTCTACGGCCCTGTCCAGCTCTCCTAGAGTAACTTCCTGTCTCCTGGAATCTCCTCCATGCTCTTGAGACTGTGCTGGGAGACACAGCAAACCTTCTGGCAATGGTACGTATTGATGTGCCATCCTGGAGGAGTTGGACTGCCTGTGCAACCTCTGTAGGGTTCAGGTATCGCCTCATGCTACCAGTAGTGACACTGACCCTAGCCAAATACAAAACTAGTGAAAAGCAGTCAGAAAAGATGAGTAGGAAAAAAAATGTCAGTGGCCTCCACCTGTAAAACCATTCCTGTTTTGGGGGTCATCTCATTGTTGCCCATCTAGTGCACCTGTTGTTAATTGCATTAACACCAAAGCAGCTGAAACTGATTAACAACCCCCTCTGCTACTTAACTGACCAGAACAATATCCCAGGAGTTTCAGTGACTTGATGCTGTATTCTGATTAAAAAGTGTTCCTTTCATTTTTTTGAGCCGTGTATAAATAACAGGCAAGTGATCAGCATTTCCTTACTTGATTTGCTGTTCAACCGCCTATTGTTTTTAGGTTCATTATGTAGTAAGCAGTAGGGAAACAGCAGTGCACCCCACGAGGAAGCTACATCAGGACTATGCAGGAGGACTAAGTGCAGACACACACACATACTGTAAATATATATGAATAAAAAGTAATCTATGCAAATTAGTTATTTTGGTATTGTCAATTTAAAGTTGAACTCCAGATCTGTTGTACAAACATTGTGCAGGCAGATATGCAATATCTCTTCTGCAATACAATGTCCCGTCATGCCTGTTCGCTGTTTTCTCCGGTTCTGTAAACTGAACTTTGCATGTGCAGCTCAGCTTACAGTGCCAAGCTGGTCTCCGAGTGTCGGGATGATGGCCTCCTACACATGCATGGGACCATTAGACAGGAGATTATTAACCCTTCGGTTCTGCATTAATCAGTGCATGTCCAAATCTCCCTGGTCATCCAGGCATGAAATTAAGATTGAAAGAAGATGCTCCCAACACAGGATGGATACTGTACGGATCAGGGGCGGACTGACCATTTGGAAACTCGGGCACTGCCCGAGGGCCCGGGGTCAGTAGGGGGCCCCATGAGATGCCCCTGGTACCTTTTTCATAGGCTTTTTTGAGTTTGGGCAAGGACACAGGGGCCCCATGATCCCCTATTGCCCGGGAGCCCCACGAGTTGTCAGTCCGCCCCTGGTACGGATACTAACCAGGCTCCAAAGTGCCACGTCCTAATCATAATGATTTGGGATTGAAAGTAAAGAACCTTATGGACTTTATAGGCACTACAAACAATAGTTCATAAAATGTAACACGTTATTGAACATTTCGCAAAATAGTACATATAAAAAAAAATGTTGCCCCTGTAACATACAAAAATATGATCAATGCAGATTCATGTATTGCTAGTAAATCCCACATTAGTAAAGATATGCCACAACTCGGCAATAACTAAGAAGAGGTACTCTTTAGATGATAATAATAGTAATGGCTCAACATGTTTCGCGATGATATCGCTTCTTCAGGAATGTAAGAAGACTTCTATGTGAAGAGATATACAGAATTGTGTGGATAAAATAACAAGCAACAACTTACATACAATGTAAATGTATAAGTTAGCGAGCGCACCAAGTAAAGCCGCTAATGCACAAAAAGGAACCACAAAAGCCTTTCTAAGAGTATGACATAAAAATGGGGTGTGCAGCGCTATACAAATAAAAAACACACTGTCATAAGTATGACAAAATATGACAAAAAAAAGTCCTATAAACTGGATAATATACAGTCCAAGGTAATGTGATATCAGTCCAAAAAGGTATATTCCAGTGGTGGAGTGTAAATGACTTCAATCCAAATGGGTATATTCCAACATCATGACATGAAGGTGTAGAAAAATTGCCCACTCACCGGAAGTGCAATTTAATGTGCACATAGAAATTCCATGAAGCCGGAAGTCCCGTGAAGGTACAGCCTGATGGTGAAGGTGCCCTCTGGTGGTAAATGGGGTAACGGCTGCCAGAGATGATGACCTGGACCTATATCCCAACTTCTCCTGCCTGGGTGGACTCCTGGAATGCTGGGCTGAGATGTGAGGGCTCAGTGCCAGGTAATAGAGATGGAAATACTCATGGTGTAGTATTATGAAGTATATTTATTAAGTAAAGATCATCATGATAAAATAAAATAGAACACGTACACGTACAGGGTTAAAGTACCTATATAGATATAATGTGAAATGAGCTCTTTGAATACACTGACCAGTGGGTAAAAAGTGATGGCCACCGGACCTCCTGATCCGGTGGCGTAACGTCAAGGCGTGCAGAGGCTCCTCCTATAGGAGGAGCCTCTGCACGCCTTGACGTTACGCCACCGGATCAGGAGGTCCGGTGGCCATCACTTTTTACCCACTGGTCAGTGTATTCAAAGAGCTCATTTCACATTATATCTATATAGGTACTTTAACCCTGTACGTGTTCTATTTTATTTTATCATGATGATCTTTACTTAATAAATATACTTCATAATACTACACCATGAGTATTTCCATCTCTATTACCTGGCACTGAGCCCTCACATCTCAGCCCAGCATTCCAGGAGTCCACCCAGGCAGGAGAAGTTGGGATATAGGTCCAGGTCATCATCTCTGGCAGCCGTTACCCCATTTACCACCAGAGGGCACCTTCACCATCAGGCTGTACCTTCACGGGACTTCCGGCTTCATGGAATTTCTATGTGCACATTAAATTGCACTTCCGGTGAGTGGGCAATTTTTCTACACCTTCATGTCATGATGTTGGAATATACCCATTTGGATTGAAGTCATTTACACTCCACCACTGGAATATACCTTTTTGGACTGATATCACATTACCTTGGACTGTATATTATCCAGTTTATAGGACTTTTTTGTCATATTTTGTCATACTTATGACAGTGTGTTTTATTTGTATAGCGCTGCACACCCCATAACTTACATACAATGCTGAATGTACACATCAAAACAAATGGTAATGAAGCAAATATAATACCTCAAGGCACATACATGTGCATAGAGGTGATGGAAGGAAGCGTCTAATGACACCATGAGTGGCCAATGGATGAGGGGGTCCCAGCAATAACGGAGGGGCGAGTCACCCGTCCTATGACAGTACCTGGTACGTAAAAGTATATGATGATTAATAACACTGTTCAACAGGTAAAAAGTTTTTGGGCATAAAATTAGCTAATCTTACATAATTTTGGGGTGCTGAAAACGAAAATGACCCTAAAAAAATGTTGATTGGCTCTAGTTTCCATGATATATTCACCCATCTAATGACGTAAGCCATTCAAAATTATGATGCAACTTCAGCTGCATATTGCGCAATTGATACTGGTGACCAATAGAAAATGTCATGTATACTGAGATGATGCAATATTAGCCTTTAATTGCATCACTTCACTGCATAAAAGCTGCAGTATCTGTAGCTGATTGTAGTTCGACAGCGTCTTTACATTTCGTTTTATGCTTATATAGGCTACTCAGTAATGCCTCGAACTTGTGTGAATAAAGCAGATAATTTCTGCTATATCTGCGGTGAAATAACTTTTATCTCACAAAAAAGGAGGATAACAGGAATGATTAAGAAGCCTACAGCTTGTATTTTGGCTGCAAGATAGGAGACCAGGACAAGAGCTGGGCACCACATATATGCTGCAATTCTTGTGGGACGGCACTGGAGCAATGGTTGAATG